TTGAAAAACAAAAAATCTAATGTTTTTTTAATTGAAATTATATTTGCATAATAATTTGGAACACAGTGTAAGAGAACAATTTTTCTTCTAATTCCTCATTCCTCCATTTGTCTCAACAATGGCTTCAAAGCAAAATTATATCATATTAACACACTTAGAAGCTTTAAAATATTATATATTACAATTTATTTATAATAAGCTCTTATTTTTGGGGTGTTTTCCACTTTTTGTATCAACCTTTGTGCCAATACTCTCCTTGTTGACGATGAAGGAAATATTATATTATATATTATATAATATTGTGTCACCCATGACCTTTTTGTAGTTGTGTGTGATTTAATGTCCTCCAGTGTACTCCACATCCAGGTCCAGGACTTCTATCCAGATTTCCACATCCTTCCAGCTTATCAATGACTTCCATAAAATACAAAATACTTTGGAAATGCCCTTTTCAAACTCAAATCATTTAAGTAAATTCAAGTTTCTACTAACTTAATTATCCATTATATATAGTGGTAGAATGTAACTAAGTACATTTACTCATACTGTTTTGAGGTACTCTCCTTGAATATTTCCATTTTATGATACATTTTCAGGGGAAATACTGTACTTTTTACTTCACTATCTTTATTTAATAGCTTTACTTACAAGCTACTTTGCAGATCTGATCATTAACTGAAAACAAATCAACTAATCAATTATGATGTATTATAAGCCAACCTAGCCAGCAGGACATAAAGTAGCCTAATCAAAACTATCCCCACCTTCACCAGCTGTAGCATTATGAACACATTAATGCATTGCTAATTATAGTTTAATAACAGCATATTATATTTATGATTCTGAAACTGGTCATTCTGCAAAACGAGTCGTATATTTTGATGCTAATACTACTGTTTAATGCAGGACTTTTACTTGTAGCACTGCATTTAAATATGTGGTGTTTTATATTTAAGCGTCTTACCTATTGCATATTGTTTTTGTTTTGTTTTTTAACGTTGTGTGTGGACCCCAGACGGAGTAGCTGATGTTCTGCTTCATCTAATATGGGGATCCTAATGACATCTAATCTAATTTTTACTCACCTTCACACCTCTTCCATCCCTGGACGCAGTGTTTTACTTTATGAGGGCAATCACTTGACGCGCGTCACCGTCTCCCGCGGGACTGCCCTTAAGTGATGCTCGTGCACGTGGTCTCCCTCCTGGCACAGTTTGGCTGCTGCAAGCTGAAAAAAGAAACTTCACACTTTGTTTTTTTTAAACACATCTCAGGTATCATGCGCGTTTTGTTCTGGCCTTTGAAGCCGGGTTTGAGATTTGGAATGAGGACCGTCGCCACTATCACACGCAGAGGGTTTTACCCGGGTTAACGGTGAGTTTGTCCGTTTTTAATAACGGTTGAAGCGGGTTAACTGTCATTCATACTCCCCCCCGGTTTCTTCTAACGCTTCCTGTTTTTCACCACCCGGTAAAAGCTGGGTACACTTGCTACAGAACAACTTCTACTGCTCTTACAGGGAACAACGCTGTCATATTATACATATGTTTGTTCTTTAATGCTGTAAGGTTATTTTTGTTTTCTTTGGGGGTTTGTTGTTCGAGCTATCACGGGCGGCATTCGGTCACCATGGAGACGGAGCGTGAACGCGCAGAGGGACTCCTCGTTCACTCGCACATAAAAGTCAACAAAAGCACCAAATTATAAAAAATTATAACATGTAGAAGTTGTGCTGCTCGAAAAAAACACTGAACGCTTGAATTTTATCGTGTTTTTCAACCGCAGAGACACAAACAACAATTTAGTCTCATTAAATCCGAAGTGATTTACCATTTATTAGGATGGTTTTCTGCCAATCTGCAGTAGAAAAACAGTATATTTGGACTGTGCATGAAAAACTAAATACTATCTTGCCATCAGTGGTGAGATGTAAGCTCAGTAGTATTTTACAATAACAATAAACTTTACTTGAGTACTTGTTTGATACTTTTACATTTTCACTCTACCACGATTTAGAGGGAAATATTATACTTTTTATTTGTGTATATTCATTTGATAGTTACTTTTCAGATTAAGATTTTACATATGGATTTGTAAACTTTGTGAAATTGTGATGCACATTTTTTTTTTTACTATTTTCTAATATTTTATAGACTAAATGATTAATGTATTTATGGAGAAAATAATCTTTAGTTAGTTCTCTAAATGCAATCATTTAATATATATTCTACCACTGACAGCCGTTACTTTTCATTCTTTAGGTGCATTTTGTTGATTTGTTGAGTCATTTTTATATTGTCGTATTGGTATTTATGTAAGGAATCTGGATATTTCTTTCACCACTGCTCGCCACGCTTTAAATGTTATTCATTGCGGCCTCAGAAGTATTTTACACCTACGGTTTATTTTCTGTCTGTCTTTTTTTCTAGCTGCTTCTCCAAAGTGAGACATCCTGTAACCACTCGCATTATGAAATCAAACCACTGAAGTCATTTGCAGACTGCCTTGGCAAATGGAGATGGAGAGAAAACCTGAGCTTTGCAGCCCGTTCGTTCCACGGCGAAGCGCTTTGAGGAAAACGAGTGCAGAAATTGTCAGTGAAGCCAGACAGTCCCTGCGAGTCCAGTCCACCCAGCGACCATTTACCCCCAGAGATGGACACAGGCAACTTTTTGGAAAGAGCTCGGCTCGTGCAGACCGTGACAACAGGCCTCCATCGACCTTCAGGTTAGTCACAAACACTTAAATGTCCTTCATGTTGTCAGGTTCAGAGATCAACTGTAACTTGTAGAAGTAATGAGACATTTTTTCACTTTTCAGTCTTCATGCTCAAAGTTTTGATGCTCCTGACTCCAGGCCAGGTTCAGGGACTCGCCTCTCTCCTCTGGACCACGTATGTTCCCTAACACACACCTATGTACTGTAGTTAAAAAAGGTATTTCAGTTTTGAATTATGGTGTTATTTGTCGTAAGCTCAAATACATATTTGCATATTAAGACGTTATATTACCATGAAAGCTGAAAAACAGGATAAGGAATATACACGCCTCTGTACGCCACTATAAAAGCTTATCTGGTTTTAATAAATAGGATTATAATGTTAATATGAGATCAAAAACATGAATAATCACCAAAATAATGGGATCTCTTTGTGTACATAAGTAGTTTCATTGGTGGATTTAAGTTCTGGCTCATTGTTCACACCATCATATGCCACTAATATGCTTTTATGGTACCAGAAGCCGAAGTTTCCAGTCCCCTGCGATGCTGAGGATTCATTCAAGGCCTTTCCCAAACCCCCCACTGACCCACTGGAAGTGAAGAGGGGCTTGGCAAGGACACGGGCACGCCTGCTCAGGGCTGGATCTCTCACCATGTTGCCTTCTGTGGAGGGACACACAGATGGTAAGGAAGGAAAAACTGCAAGCCAGAAAAGACGGTGGATTAAAGAAAAAACTAAAAGTGTACTAAATGTGTGACGTATGGAGTAATGAGGATTAGGTAATCCACGTTGTGCTTTCAGTAAAATGGTAATTTGTCAAACATTTGCGCGTTTGTCAATTAAAAAAGAAACCCAGCAGTCCATTCATTTCCTGTTGCATCGCCGTAAATCTTCTGTGCAGGCACTAGTGCAAGAGCAGTTTTCTCAAAGGGAAATGAATGGAGCCATTCACATGCTGACATTACACCTGATTTAAATTCTCTGTTGTTGGGCTGGGTGAAGAAAACTTAATTTACTGCTGCCGTTTTGAGTGGAAAATTAGTGCATTCTCTCTCAAACCCTTTCTTGTGAATCTGCTATGTGGAGCAATAAAATAGATGATGTGGATGTTAAAAAAAAACCTGGATCTGTATATGTATGTATACAGTATGTGACTGTGTACAGAACAAGTGCGGGACAAGTAGAAATGTCACTGCAGCATACAACAGAAACCTGTATATAACTTCTCGCCACATCCTTTCTGTGTGTGCAGTGAAAGAGAGACTGAATCCAGGCCCAGGACAAAAGCAGCCGTCAGCTAAACGACTCCCCAGCACAGATCACACTGTGGTCCCAAGTGGTCCCCACAAAGCTGGCCCACGCAGAACAGCAAGTGAAAGGTACGCTTTCTATCCCTCTGTTTGACTTGCAAGATCTGTCCTTCTCTCTCATCTCCCCCACCACCCCTCTCCTGCTCCCTCTTTTTGACCGAAGTGACAGTGCGACAATGAGTTGAAGATTTATAGGCACACAAAGGTTGCAGTGGTTGCCGTTTCTAGATGGAGGTGATTGTGCCCTCCATTTTCGCCTTTCTTCTCATCCTGCTCCTTGCTTTTTTGCCTCTCTCTTTGCCCCGGTATGTCAAATTCATTGAGTTTCTAATGTCTTTTTGTGCCCCTGTTTTGGTCCACAACTTATTCAGACTGCAGGGAACAGAAAATTATAACAGGAAATACCTTAGTAAGGCTGATAACATCACTGTTATTGTTTGTGTTTTGTGCTTAAATGCTTATGATTCCAATGTGAAACATCCAGTGTGTAACATTTAGGAGGATCTTTTGGCAGAAATAGAATATAATATTCATAGATATGTTTTCATTAATGTATAATCACCTGAATATAAGAGTTGTTGTTGTTTTCGTTACCTTAAAATGAGCCGTTTTTATCTTGGCCATATTCAGTTATGAATGTAAATAACGCTGTAATGTGGATTGTTATTTTAAAGTTTCAATTCCGCATTAAAATGGCAAAAAAGAAAAGACCTATGTTATATATCTTGTTGAGTTTGTTTCCAACAATGTTCAAACTCAACTAATTTTAAGTTACAAAAAAATAAGCTGAGCTAAGGTTAGCAGCAGCTGGCTAGTTAGGACTTTGCACAAACACAGATTTTTAAGGTAAACTGCTTTATTCAGTGTTTCTACCGGTTTTAATCACCAGGTCGATTTGTTTTGCAGAAGAAGAGATCTCTGCAGGGAGAAGCTGACTGCAACAACTCCCATGATCCCAAACTTTGTCTTTTGTTATTGTTTTAATGTAAGAGGCCCCCCCTAGCGGCAGAAATTACATATTGTACGTACGTTTAATTAAAACTATATTACCCATAAACATTTCCCAAAGCGAGCAGCTTTTAAAGCCATGATTTACTTGATCCAGGGCCTGAACCTTTTAGATACATTCAGCTACCAGCACTGACAGCTGAATATATGAAGTCAGTTAGACCAGCAGAGGTGTCACTAACTAATAGAAAGAACAAATTCTTCAACTTGAGACACTCGACCCCATTTTAAACCCTCGTATACTTTACTCTACACTATATCTTGGTCACAGTTCACATCCAGCGTCTTGGCAAGTTTCATTCGTAATGAAACTGCCTCTATCTGTCATTACTATCATGTGTCAGCTTTTACACCTTCACAGTGCAGAGAGGCTAAAAGCTCAGATTTTTTTCTGCCGACCTCATCAGCTGTGTGTTAGCACGAGGGGTATAATTCTGCGTGTGAGGTTGGGGGCTGTCGTTTCAATCCATCCGCCTATCGATTGGGTGGGGCAGTTGGGGCTGTAGAGGGGGGACGGACCATAAAACACTTTTACAGGAAATCTGGGCTAACGCCGGCAGCACGGCCCCCTCACGTCCTCCCTCGCAACTCAAGTTAACACACAATGTTTGTATAACTTGTTGCTGACAAAGAGAGGTCCCAAGAGATGAGACTGTGGTCAATTTTTGATTTAAGAGATCAAAGAAACCCCCTCCTAGTGTTAGGTCAGAGTTTTTGAAGTACTGTTCTCTAGTGTTGCAAGGAACTACATAAAAGGTGCATTAGATAGAGACAAACAGAGTGAAAATCACAGAGCTAGTCAAGCCAGAAGTACACTGACTGCAAGTGGAAATAGACACAGCACGACAGATTAATGTGATGAGTTGGATGAGATATAAAGATAGGGGAGATTAGACATCCACTAGGTTCTTTTTCTCCAATAAGCCGGAGCTTTATAGCTCCAAATGGCTCTCTATTAGATTTGGGTGCCCATCTGGGCAAGGCTGGCAGCCGCGTGTGTTGTGACTGCAGTGCACTGGCCAGGCCTAAGACAGGGATGAGGTCATGTCTCAGAGAATGCAGTATCACACAAAGAGGCCTTATTATCAGGCTCTTAATCCTATCATACAGAGCCAAAGCCCCCTCTCTGACATTCACTGCAACATGCATTGGCCAGCACTCCCTGCTGCATATGCCCTGTGTGCCAGCTTACACCAATCACTAAATCTCCATCAAAGTAAAAGTGCACTCTATAGTAGCACCCACATGCTGTATATTAATGTCAATGTCACAATGCCTTCTGGCTCCAGTAAAATGGAAAAGAGAATTTATTTTACAATACTGAGGGTCATTTTCTGTCTTATAGCTGTCAGCAAGACCATGAAATAAAGCTTTTACTCCCACTTGAGAGTAAAAGCTTAAAGAAATATTCCAAACTGAGAGCCTTTTGTATTAATGTCACGATCCGGATAACATAATAATGTTTGTCTTTAACACGAGTGATTACACTTTTCCATATAAGTTTGATTCAGTCTTTTGTGTGAGATTTGTGGCATAATCTTGCAGTTATAGAGGTGATTTCACTGATTTGATGACTCAATATACTGCTTGTGTTTATCTCTGCTCATTAATAATTATTATTTCAGCTGTTCACATGGCAGTTAGTCATTAGAGACACTACCTGCCATGTTTCACAGAAATTATTGGAGCATGTAGTCAATCTCTTTGTGTGTGAGAGGAATAGTGCAGACTTGACAGAGACGTGCAGAGAGTAAGACGCAGCGGTGACATGGAGAGGGCAAGCCAGAACACATAGCACAGCATGACAAGGGGCGTGTTTTTGGAAGAACTGTACGGTTACTGCACAGAGGCGGTGAGACTGTGGAGACAGCTCACAGTGACAAAGCATGAACAGCTTTAACCAGACTGCCCACAAAGCTAAGATCTTAGTTCCTGTCTGTTGGGGATTGCAGTTTGTGATGCACAACGGCACACATGCAAAAACTTACAGTCACGCACAAACAGACAGACACGCACACACACATACACACACACACACACAAACATATGTAACTGCATGAGCTCAAATGTACATACCCAGACGCGTACACACACTACAGATACCAGCACCTGCACACAAGTCTCAACCTCTGCTGCAAGAGAGACACCTAGTGGCAGTTTATGAAAATACACCTGTGAACTTGACAGTATATAAAGTCAGCAACTTTTCATGGAGATTTGTTTTTGACACAAAAACTCATCCTTTAAATCTTTTTTGTTTCTTTCAGTGAAGGTCTTTTTTTTAAAATAGTATTTACTATTATTTGAATGCCCAAATGAGCCAAATCTCCCAAAGTCAATTGAATTAAAGTAAACTAGTCAATAGTCCCATACTGTATGTCTCATCTCCAAAATCTGATGTAACCAGACTCTTTGTGTTTTTGTGTTTCTTTGTGTCAACAGTAGAATAATGCCGCCTGGTGATGACTCAGGACCCACAGAGTGCAGAGTAGGACGGAGAACAGGTTTGTCCAGATGTACTAAATGAACCTCACTGCTATATTTTTTTTTTACATATTAAACATGAATGGTGCATTTTGTACCCCATGTAAAAGAAAAATGTTGTTGCAACTTCTTCCTAACATACCACTCAACCACAGATTTTACTTCAAATGTAGCTTATTTTCTAAGATGCCTAAAGCCAAACTGAAATCCACAAATATGCCTAAATATAATAAGAAATGAGCCCATAAAAGTTTCGCCAACAACACAGACACACATTTCTCCCAGTAAATGAACACCCCTTTCTGAGTGTCAAACTTTGATTGGGGTGTTGTTGCTAAGGGACTTAATTTCCACCATGAGAGGCAGCCAGCCAATAGCTGAGAGAGCTGTTGGTTTGAGCAACCACAGTTTCCTGCATCACACCAAGCAAAGGGGTATGCAAATGTTCAGCAAAAAGAGATGCACGGTCTGCGAGAGACTGCAGACATTTGCGTGCACAAACATATGCACACGTGTTTTCATTACACATGCACATACTCACATGCTCATACACAGACTATTTCACATCAGCACAAACAGATATCAGAGGAAGTGAAGCTGAGGATGGTGACCTTTCATTGTGGCATCAAACTTCCTGCTGTTTTATTTTAAGACACTGAACTTGTGAACCATGCCTGCCGCTCATGTTCACCGTCTGGGTTCGGCGGTGGTAATTGGCTAACTGCAATTCTCTCTGCGCATTTCAGAGCTGGGGAATGGAGAAAACACCACAAGCACAGAGGAGGAGGATGCAGAGTCACTGGTGTGGAATAATGCGATTGCTCCTCTTCTCCAACAACTAGAAAGTGTGGCTGCAGGTAGTGTGAGCAATGCAATAACTCAATAAGAAAGTGCAAACATGAGACATATGTTAGTCTTGACCGGATGCATTCATTTGACTTAAAGAGTATATAGTTTCTATCACCTACTCTACTCACCATAACACATATTCCATTTGGCATGTTGGGTTGAAGAATGTCTCTGGAGCAAATCTAAAATGTAATGTGGTTGCAGTATGTTTTTTTTAGTGCCTCATTTCTCTGTTTTTCTTACTACATTTCATTTTCAACCAGCAGGCCGGCAAACAGATTCTTAGCATTAGTCAGATAGTCATGCATGAAGTCTCACAAAATGAAAAAGCATTGTAATTTCAGCCACTGAAGAAAGGCAAACAAAATAGTGTTATGTTTGGCATCCATACAGAATTGTCTTAGTCTGAAACTGCAGTCTGGCAGCCATGAAATGAAATCTATGGCTGTAAATATTTTAACACTCTACAAATTTAATGGAAAATTCATTTGAAAGATAAATATTAAATATTTATTGTACCAAGTGCCTTCTGGCTCATGCATAAAACACCTTTCAGATTCAGTGGGAAATTGCAGTGGAGTGTTGAGTGTGAGACTGCAGCCAACCTTTTTTAGAAATGGCCAAACCCAGTTAGTTATGCAAGGAAAACATTTATTTTACCTCAAAAACAAGGAAAAGACTCCACCCTTTGTCTTCCTCTGCATCAAGATTGTAGCTGCCTGTTGCAGAAAGTGTTCCCCTGCATCTGACTATAGAAACTAAGAACTAGTTCTTAGAAAAGAGAGGAGAATGTTATTTTACTGCTGACCAATGTATTATTGGTGTTGAGGATTTAACCTCAAGTTCCTCATGCAAATAACAAATGCACACCATGCAGTAGATCCCAAGTATTATGCACATACCGAAACACAGACAAAACATCACTCATCTGTATTTATATGGATGCACACTTGCCAACACACACAAGCGAGTGTTTTCATTTCGGGATGTTTGCTTTCTTTGTGAATGTTTGACATGTTGCCCTGAACTTGACATCTTTTTTTCTTTTTTTTTGCAATATCTGCTTTCCTGCGATGCCAGGCAGTTCTGAGGGCTCGGTGGACCGCCTCTGTGATTTGTGTGACGGTCTCCATGGCACCTTGGCAGAAGCGGACATGCTCGGCCGACGCTGTAAGAGGAGGTCAGGGATACTTCGAACACTGTTCCGCCTCATCGACCTCAACTCTGCCCAGCTCAACCTGCACATCGGCAAGCTGTGCCTCGCTGTGAGTCGTCTGTGTCTATGTGGGTGTCAGCATGTCTGCCGCTAAGTCCCTATCAAAAGGGTATCCAGGGCACTTGGGCATTTGATACAAAGCTTGAAAAAGAACGTTTTTTGTTTTTGCATTTTTCTCTCCAGCTGTCTGTCAGTGGAAACAACCTGCTCAACATCTGTAAGCTCATCTTCCAGATCAGCCGCAGTGAAAGCAACGACATCCTCTTCCAGAACAACTCTATCATAGGTGAACACTAGGTTTCATGGAAGTTACATAAAGTCAGTTTAAAGGAACACAATGTTCAATATTCTTCTTCTTCATGCTGGCTTATGTAAATGTTCCCACTATTAGACAAAAATGTTTTTATGTCCGGTGTATAAGCTGCTCCAAGAGCATAATGTTCTCTGCTGGCCTGGCCTCTTCAGTCAAGCCTGGGATGAATTTTATCTGTCTGGCTCTACTTGAACCCCTTTGCTAGGTCATTACAGATTGCAGTATGTGCCCAATATGGATGTTAACATTCAATTTCTGTTTGTATCTAGACTCGCTTCTGGGAATTTTGAGCAATGAGGATGTGTCTACATCTGGTGAAGCTCTGTTGTACTGTGTTGGGACTCTGAAATTTCTCTCTGGAAACAGTGCAATACTCAGACTCCTGCTGGAGAAGAACTGTATTGGTGTGGCTCAGAAACTCATCCAGAGGCTCTGCGTGGTAGAAGACACCAACTTCACTATAGCAGGGCACATCCTCGTACAGGTGTGTCACAGACTTTAAATGTTTAGAATAAATCCATAGATATTTGCTGTACACCAATCTTTTTAAACCAATAGCTTTTATATTACAACTCAGTGGGAAACTTGTAGCATCTACTCCGGCTCACAAAACAACACACATATTTTAACTTATGTGGCTATGTGAGTAAAAACCACAAAGTTATACTATGTTAAATATTCTTTTTGTTCTGTTTGTTGGCGGGTTTTACCACTATTAGGCAAAAATGTTTTTGTTTATGTCTCGTATATAAGCTGCTCCAAGAGCAAAATGTTCTTTGCTGGCCTGGCCACTTCAGTCAAAAACACACCCTGTTTCACTCTTCCGCAAATGATTGCTGCTGACCGCATAAGTTGGCCCAAGCAAACATCTTGAGCCAGCGCTTCATTTGATATCCAACACAACTCATTATGCTTTTAGAGGAGGGAAACAGACAGACCATGACTTTCCAGAACGTCCAGTGCTGCCGTGCGTTGGAAATTACTGTTTCCCTCTTTTGAAAGAATGATTTATGTCCATACTGAATAGTTTCCGGTGGCTGTGCTGTATGGCGTCCTGTACAGGCCAACAGCCAGCCTTAATGAGCATATGACCAACATTGTGTGCAAGCCACAAATTCACAACACTGACACGCAATACTGACCTAAATATAAATGCTTAGATACAGTGGGTACATATGTATACATTTCTTCTTGCTAACCAACAGTCTCACTCTTCTGTCTCTCTGTCTGACCTCTGAACCCTGTAGCTGACAGCGACACTGAGGAACCTCGCAGATCACCCTGACTCCCGTCCACTCTTCATCTCCTTCTCTATAGTACAAGAGCTCTGTTTGGTTCTGCGGCATCATCGCAAAGACCAGGACATCTGCACCAACATTTCCAGAATATACAGGTATCGCACTTACATAAGATCATATTAATCTGACATGACGTTACACCTCACTTCTGGTTTGGACTATCTTTGCTATTGTGGGTAATTTATCTACAGCTCACGTAAACCTGATATAATCAAAACAGGCCATCATTCAGCTCACACCCTGTCTTCTCTCTTTTCCTGTCCAACTCTAGCAGTTACTCTCCTCCTAAATGTCCTGCTTTCTTTCTTACATGGCATCTTTGTAGTTGGGTCTCACAGAACAGAGTCGGCAGAGAAACATACATTTGTCAGACAGGATGTGGTTATACACCTGTTTTTGTGTCTATGTCGTTATAAACACTTGAGGAAGTGATACAGCTTATTTCTGTCATGCCGGTTTCTGTATTGAATAGTTTTTATCTTATTCAGCTTATAGAGTTTTGCATAAACGTATTAGTTATTTATATTCAGAAGTTTAAATGGAGACAATGTAAATTTAGCTGAACAGTGGCCACTGTGGCCACAAGTCCCAGTTGTAAATATTCTGAATGTAGTGAAGTAGTTCATAAGGTCAGCAAACTGACTCGTTAAGGTAAGTTATACAGGGAGATCAAAATTTGCTAAGATCAGGTAACATCAGCAACTATAAGCTAATGTTCATACTAGACCAAGTAAGGCTGCAACAGCAAAGCCTTTGGGTATATTAAAAATAATTTAATACTGTGTCATTTTTTCATTAAAAAGTTTCACTTCAAGCCTTTACAGGCAAAATATTACACACTATAATTGGAGAGATGGAATTTAACACTAAGGTGTTTCTGCACTTTCACTGAATCACTGACACTTTATGTAAGCTCAGCTGTATCACCCTCGTCACACAACTTCCACTGATGTACTTCTTACGTCAGATTGAGTGCAGTAGTGCGTAGAGGCACGGGACAGGGGTTTAATGTAAAACCAGAAACAGGGCGTTGTCACCAAAGTCACCGGAGGCCTCATCTTCTCTGTGACAGCAGGCCACTTACTGCAGGCTGATTATCATCTGATTACAGTACCTCCACCAAACAGAGTGCAATGACACAAATGATTCAGTCCCCATCTTCTTTTCTTTTACCAGTTTCTCACTCCAGGTCTCGGCCTCCACTCTGGAACAAGTACCTCATCAGTGTGTGCAGCACAAAATAAAAACATAAAGCACTGTAGTGTGTAATAAAATATGTTTTCCCATATAAAATATAAGGCAAAGCAGTTTTACTAGGTGTTAGCGCTGATTAAGGTAATACTGCCTGAATATTTTTGCCCACGGTAATGAAAGCATGAACGGTAGATCCCGGCCCAAGCCTGCTTATCCATTAGCTGTGTTGATTTAATATCTCCATATTTAGTCAGCAAAGTGGAGCAGTGGGTGAGTGGAATGATCAGTGGTATTTGTTGTCCTCTTTCTCTCTCAGTAAACTCTCCTCTTACTCGGAGTGCCGCCTCGCTCTGGCCCAGACCCCCGACTGCTACCAACTATTTTTAGAACTGCTGAGCAAACATCACCAAAAACAGGTGAGTCCGCGAGCCTCCTCTTGTTTGTGTGTGTGTGTGTGTGTGATTGAGTCTGTGTGTATTAGAGAGAAGCAAAGTCTTTTCCAGTGTTCATGTAACTCTACTGAGCTATGTTTACCCTCAGAACAAGTTGTTTGTGTACGCCAAGTCCAAGCACATTTACGGGACATTGTGTCCATTTGCACGTAGCATCCGTCTCTCTTTTTCTGCTCTTCTATGTGTGTGTGTGTGTGTGTGTGTTTTGACATTTAATCATCCCAAAGGGGCTGAGTAAGTCAAGGAAGGGGGAGGAAGGAGAGAGGAGGAAAAGGAGAAAAAAAATAAAGGAGGTGAGCTTGAGTACATAATAGATAGTAGAGGTGATACAGAGGTGGAGGGGAGGAGTGATATACATGAGGAGTAGTAGAAGAAGAAAAAGGGTGGGAGTTTGGCAATCAAACATGACTGACATGTGTTCTTAATCTCATACTGAATAAACACGCCCACGCCTTCAAATACACACACACACACACACACACACACACTGGACAGTAAGACGTGTAACGAGCACCTAGTCCAAGGACAGCCCGTCCTGTTCTCATATCAATGTCACTATGGGCTTATGGGAGAAATGAGTGTGTTCTGCTCTTCATGTTATTGACTAAGACAAGTCAGGATACAAGGGTGACGCACAGGGTTCACATTTGTTACCCCTTTTCTCCGTATGTGCGATATAACTCATTGAAAAGATGGAGTGTAGTTATACTCAAACAAGTCTGAACAGCTATGAGCTCTCTGGGAGGAAATGAGTGACACCTACTAGACAGGGCAGGCTCACTGTGCTGCAGGTGGCTGTTGATCTAAAATACTAAATGTGATCTCATATTGAATGTTGACTGTTCTCATCATCAGAAACTATCTGTTCTCTCGGGGGGGAGGTTGTTGTGTTTTTTACCACCACCACCACCACTACCCTAACTGTAACACTTTCTCACTCTCACATTTTTACACACATAGGCACACATACGATCACACACACACACACACAGGGCTCGTGGTCATGCAAATGTGAAGAAATGGGAGCAGTTAGAAGTTCGGCCACCCTCTGGTTCCCAATCCAAGTGCTATGTACTATATCTGTATACTATATTTACTATATAACTATTTGGATCTAGTATATATAATATATATAATATAGGCACGCTTCACTATTTTCTGGTATTCTACAGATCAAACAATAAATTGATTAAACAACAATATAAATTGCAGATTAACAGTTAATTAAATTAATTATGTGTTGAATCTTTAAAATATACATTCATGTGATAAATATGAGCGCAGAAACCAGTATAAATAAGCTCTAAATATACCGTATGTCCTATATTATCTACACACGATAACTGAACACTGAACAAGTTATAATATTGTACAAGAATAAGTGGATCAGTTGAACAGTGTTTGAGGCCTTTCTGCCACATTTGCAATGGAAAAAAACCTCTTTGTTGGTTTGCTTTAATTTGTAAAATAATTGTCAGATGCTGATTGACTACTACAATATTGTCTCCCACAGGACCTTGTCGTGCGCCTTCTTTTCACCCTCGGGAACCTCACAGCCAAAAGCGACGAGGCTCGGCAGCAGCTCTTTCAGTGCAAGGGCTGCATGGACACACTTCTGCAGCTGTACGACAGCTACCAGCTCAGAGACGAGTCGCCGCACACACCCTCGCGGAAAGGGCCCCCTTCCCCCAGCAAGCCTCTTGCACCACCAGTGAGTGTGCAGGAACAAGAGGATGTGCTGGTGAAGCTGGTCAGGGTGCTGGCAAACATGTGCATCCACCCGGCCGTAGGTCCAGCTCTGGCAGCCAACACAACCTGCATTCAGCTGCTGATGGAGACACTCGGTGAGCAGGAGGAACTCGTTCTCTTTGAGTCACTGTTGGCTAAAAGATGAGGTGTGAAATAGAAGATGCAGTCAGTAGCAGATTTATGGCTGCAGCATTTTTCGCCCATGTTGAATCTGTATGTCATACAAAGGAAGCAGTGTGTGAAAATCTAGAGTTCTGATAAGTTTAAAAATAGCTGCTTGAAGCTTTGTACGTACAGTAAATATCTGCCAGGCACCCAACCACTTCCTTTGTGCTGGGAACAAGACATGACTTTGGTCGAAAACACACTCATTTGTCTGTTCATTCCATCTTTCGCTTTCCTCTCAGAGCTTTGCGTTCGATTCGCAGCACATCCTCTTTTGGTTTACTTGTTGTTTTTTTAAGTCTAACAGAGCGAAGCACTTCGCTGCATGAGCAGGATGTTCTGTCACATCTCATAGCCGATTTGGTTTGTGTGTGTGAAATTCTCCCAGGTGGTTAGATGGTTTCAGGACATATTGAACCGATACACAGGTGGGTGTGAAACTCTCGATTTCGCTGCTGCCTCCTACACACACTTCATGGCAGTTGGGGGGGATATTAAATAAAACAGAGGTCAAACTGGTTAAAAAATGTCAAATCTCAAAAGATAGAAGGGGGTGTGATTCTTGCCAGAGAGTAAGATGGGAAGTAAATTAAGTAACTGAAGACAGAAACATAAAACGAGCGAATGAAGGATATTGTGGAGTTGATGTGACAGCTGGAAACAGAAAACAAAATCTCAGCCGAGGATGAAAGAGCAGGCTTAGCTGATCGATGTCCTGTTTTGATCAAGTTCACGACAGGCTGTGCTGCTTTACATTACCGAGCTCTGAGGGAGGGGCACAACAAAGCGGTATTTTCAGTCAGAACCAGAAACTAAATTCAGTGTGACACAGGCGCTTGGTTGACACCGACCGCAATATCCGTGATTTATGACCGAGCACACGACATCTGCTGCTATATCAGGAACAGACTTGGTTTCCAAGCAGCTCACAGTGTCACGGCTGGTTGGATTGGGTCACATTGACCTTTGTACGCCAGCTCATGATCAAACCAACAACATCAGGCCAGAATTTAACCACAGATAACAGCCACTTCTAGGATAATGTCACAGTGTCAGAGCAGTGTGGCTGAAAACCCACTGTCTATTTACATCTACATCACCAAGTGAAATATGAAAAACAACCTTTGTTCACTCACTCCGTATTGCAGTTGTTTTATGGAGTAATTATCTACCTTTACTTTATCTTCTCCCCTTCATTAACATAAAATGATGCAAAGCGTTCACCTGGATTCACCTGGTCAGTCATTATCAGGGAGTGGTTCATTTTGAGTTCTCTGTGAATGTATGTATTCTTCACTAGGCAGTGAAAAGTTTTATAATTTCTCACATTATGTTGTCACCAGAGGGAGGGTTACTTCCCATGAATGAATATGTCAGGAGCACGGAAGCCTTGTTCCTGCCGACTGCAGTACGGATGCTCCCTCTGTTGGTTGTAATTCAAACAGGAGGATTTTTCAGGAAAAATCAGAGGCATCAACCTCAAAATCTGTTAGAATTAATGTTCATCTAAGGTTGCTCTCTGTGATGATTATTTCTTGTTTTTCTATTGTTTGTGTTTGTGTGTGTGTGGGGATGGCACAGAGCTGAGGTCTGTGCAGGGAAGCGAGGAGCTGTTGGTGAATGTGGCTGCCACCATCAACAACCTGTCCTTCTACCAGGAAGAAAGCTCTGTGCTCAGACACAGTCAACTCGCCATCGCAGAGCGTAAGACTCACTGACCTCAATGAGAGTGTGTTACTGTTTGTCTGTTTGGCTGATTTGACGTCCTTTTCCCTGTCACTCCCACATTTCTCTCTTTCCTGCTCACTCTTTCTTTGTACTTTAGTGATGTTGAAGTTGGTACTCAGCTCCAGTATGGACGCCATGCTTGAGGCCACCCGTGTATATGGAAATTTGTCACAGTCCAAGGACGTACGGGACTTTATTATGCAAAACAAAGGTATATGATGGACACAAACTCCAACAGACACACACAAAACACATGAGCCTATACTTATTTCATGTTTAAGGCATACTGTATTCACTGACTCTGAAGAGTTGGCCTGTTAGAATCAAACTTGACTAACTCTTTAAAGCCTAATAATACGCTGAAATAAGTCTGATGTAAAGATGTAAAAACACACCTAGACACAGACTGTCCAGTACAGTATGTACATGCATACAGTCATGTCATGTTTGGGCTTGACTTATCTGCAAGGCCAGCTACAGTCAGTATAAACATGCCTGCTGACTCCGGTGATAGGAGCCCTCTTATCTTTGCCCTGCTTTGTCTTCGTGCGCTCCCTCATCTTTTTCCGCTCTCGTCCCCTCAGTGCACCAGTTCGTAGTGACGCTGCTGGACTCAAAAAGCACCGAGATGTGTTTTTCCGCCTGCGGGGTCCTCACCAACCTGGCTCTGGACCCTCCAAACAGGGTCAGTCTCTCACTAGAGGGGGCTGCTGCCAAGTAAGGACTGATCCACTTAGAGATAAGGGTTTGTTCATGTGTATGTGTGTGTGCGTATATATGTAGCACGTTTTTGTATTTTATTTGACAGGCAATTTACCCACTTTCCACTCTTTCTAATACTGATTGTGACTTAAAATGTAGTTAAATCATCTTAGTGCTAAACTAGCAGCAACACATACATTATGTGAAGATATCACCATAATTACTGTATTCTACATTTTGTGCCAGTAGGTGTTAGATTTGGCTGCTAAATCTGTTGAATAGAGGGTATAAAATTGATGCTGTTTGTTAAAGGAATATTTCAACATTTTTGGGAAACACGTTCTATTCACTTTCTTGCCCGAGTGATAGATGAGAAGCCCGATTCCACTCTCAAGTCTCTACATTAAATATGACGCTAGCTCTCTCCAAAAGTAATAAAACTCAGCACCTCATACGCTCAAACAACACAAAGTTGTGGTTTTTACAGGGGATTATTTGAGGACTGTTACCCCCTGTTTTCAGTCTTTAGACTCACAGACTCTCTAAGAAACTCTAAGACTAAGTCTTTTTTTTTGTCTTTCTCAAAATGTATTTCTTTAATAGCAAACTGAGCTAAAGCTTTCTGGGTGTTTGGCAAACGTAGCATCCTCTTCACAGCAGAGAGTAAACAGTGTTTTTTGGGGGGAAATATGGTCTTCATTTGACAAACATGAGCACAACAACTCTACTGGCATGAACAAGATGCTACTAATCATCTCAATCTTGATGTTATTTGTTCACAGTAGTTAAAATTAGAATTACTAATTTGTACATCTAGATTTCCTTGTACATTTTTAATACATGGGAACTCAACGTGGAACAGATTCAATCTGTAGTGTAAGCTTCTCACTTCCAAAACTGAGCATTGCTTTTACATTTAACTTCCTGTTTCCCCTTTACACACACAAACACACACACACACACACACACACACAGTCCTCTCTCAGATGTCGGTCCAATGAACTGGAGCTAATGCCCACAAACCTGCCGGTCATGTGAATCCCTCTCCCTCAAGTCATACGATGTGTGAGGTATGTGTCTGTGTCTGTGTCTGTTTCTGTTGTGTGTGTGTGTGTGTGTGTGTGTGTGTGTGTTCTGTGTGTTGTGTTGTGTGTGTGTGTGTGGTGTGGTGTGTGTGGACAGGCGTTGTGGACTGTCTGAATAGACTTCGGACCAGGTGGATTGGCAGCTGGCGGGGCCAGGTTTGTCAGGCGCTGTGGAAATGATCGCCGGCGGCTTCAGAGAAAGCTGCTGGACAAACAGGAGAGAGAGTTCACCTGCTGGAGATCCCTATTGCATATCTTAGGTTGTGTACAGTGGTTATTATACTACCCTTACATAACAAGGGGAGGCCAGCATGCTGGAAAGAACATGCTCTTATTCACAATCCGTGGCCCTCAGGGGAAGGGAGGGACACACCGACTTATGATGACACATACTTCCACAGTCAACATCTGGGAGCTGCCTGAACCAAAGCCTGTCACTAGAAGTATTCAAAATAAACCTGAACCACACACTGCCCTCGTCGTCTTCTCCGTCCCGCTCTTTTTATTTCATTCCCAGATGAAGAAGAGGCTCTAAATGGATAGAGATGAAGAATTTATGAGGTGATCTCCCAAGGGCTGCGGGAGTTAAGTTCTTACCTGGTAGCTAAAAACGATGAAGACGCTCCAGCCTGTGAACTGGAATAAACTTAAATCCTTAAGTCCAGAGTCTACATCATATCTATCAATCACTTAACTCCACTGGGGTTTTGAGGTGGCTGTAAAGGTTTGTGAGTTTTTCTTTTCATGGCAGGAGTTGTGAGGTCGCTTATTTTATGTCAGTTTGTTGTTTTTTTAAGGCCTTTAAAACGTCTTTTCACTGGTACTGTCATCCTGTATGCTCCAGATAAAGGAATGGGGCAAGCAGCCATTTCGACATGAAATAGTAGGGCAACCACATATATTACCAATGATAATCATTAAGGCTTCGTTCTGTTCAGGTCAGGTGTCAGGGTGCCGCTGTTGGCTCAATGGTAAGGCCGCTGTGAAAAAGGTCAATTGATTGGAGAATTCAACTACAGATCTTTTAGATTTAAGGCCTACAAATGGTCAGTGTGTCATATTCAAACCAATAGATTTTAGGTGGCTGATGAAGGTAATTATGCAAAATATAAGAAGCGCTGAATCTATGTAAAATAATACGTGTGAATGTGAAAACTAAAAGGAAAAACATTCTCTGTTCTGTGGACAAATATTTGCATTTACATTTGTATTTCATTTTCATTTATTTATTTTCTGGTCGCTCCTCGCATTATAAATACGAACAGCTATGTTTTTTTATTGTTTAAATTTGTAACTTTTTTCACTTTTTATGCACTTTAATTCCCATAAAACTTGCAGTAGCCTTAATTTATGGGTATCTTCACGTGTACAGGGATAATTTAATGCAAGCTCTTTGCACATTTGATCTGTTTTGCTAGTACACCGAGTTGTAAAGGTTCTTTTATGATAATGTTGTCTTGAAAACACTCACCTGGAAGTTACCTCATAAGGAAATCTTTTACTGTCTGTGGATTGTGTGGCATTGGAACTTGAACATAATAAAGCAGAAGAGAGTGGAAAAAAACATTTTTTTTTGCTGTCAAAGCCTTTATTGTTACACAGATATGGGGCCAGGCAGTGCTTACACGTTACACCAAGTAGCCTAAAGTACAGCATTTCAAAATCACATCGTTATTACATCGAAACAAATCAGAAACGGCACTTAATGTAAAAACCCTCTGTGTCAGTTCCCCCAGTTTTCACACAACAGTGACCTTCAAACAACCACAAGACAAGCTGATGTTTAAAAAAAAACCCTAAACAATTCAAAGCCAGCGCTAATAACAAACATTGTTCTCTACATAGATTTCATCAGGTTGATATGAAAGACGGCTGGCAGATATCGAGGTTGCTTAATAAATGTTTCCTACTCCATAAATCGTCTGGGGAAAGCCACCGAAATGTGAAGGCAGTTTGGTCAGTGGGTATAACACTGAGTTTCTCCTGGTGATTGTGTACTGACAGACAGGCCTCTGTGGCCTCGATGGGAAACAACCCTGAAGTTCAGACAGATAAAGCTCAGCCTCACAGGGGAAAGTGAAGGATTTTTTCCCAGTGGGGTGGAGGCAAACAGGAAGGAGAGGTAAGGTGTCCGACAAGGAACCCCCCCCCCCCCTTCTTATCTCGATCTAAATGTTGGTCAGGAGCAAAGACGAACCTTGACCTTGACCGCACCACAGGAACAGGGACCATTATGTGGCTCCCTGTGAGTCACACAGTTCTCAAGCTTATACAGTAAAATGAAATTCACATGAAAGTCCCTGGAGTTCAGCTCGCTGGTGAGGAAGTGAGCTTCATCATCAAAGAGCTGAGTGTACTTTGGAGCAGACGTTGATAGAGTAACACTCCATGTCTTTTCATGAGTTATCTTTTGCATATGAGCATTTAAATATGCTTACTAATTAGCATGGGTTATTTGACTTGCTGTACTTGTGCAACTGAGCAGTAGAAGTGAGCTGATGGTAACACTGATTGTGCTATGACTGTTTGATTTCTGAATTGTGTAGGCCTCTCCGCATCGAATACAATCTCTTTTATGAAGCAATGAAATCAAATTGTTTAGGAGAAAACTACGAATGATACACAACAATTTAATATCATAGTTTATTTTTTTTCATCTTTTTCATATATTTTCATGTAAAAAAAAAAGTGTCAGTAACTGACATCAGTCAGAAGTTTGAAAAAAAAAAACCTCCACTTCCTCTCAAACCACTTTCAAATGTACCATTCCTTTATCATCGTCGTCCTCCTCCTCATCTGGATATCACTCATTCATCTGTCTGATTCTCTCAATCCAACCTCAGAAGAATGCAGTACTTAACTGGTTTTAGTAAACAAAAAACAAAAAACAGCAGAGGTTTCACACCTCTGTTCAAAAAAAAAAAAAAAAAAAAAAGCTGCTTTTGCACTGGTTAGACTTCCCCAGCAGGGAAATAAGCACAGCTACAACCGTTTGCGTTCGACGTGTATCGAGCGCAGTCGGCCCTGTGTGGGCAAGCCGGGTCCCCGAGCAATGGGAACGCGGCAGCCCGGAAAAGAGTCTCTGCTCACCAAAGAGCACTTCTTATATGTTTTCTAGAGAAAAACAGAAGAGGTATTCATTTACTGGTAAAATTCACAATCCAAAGCTTTGAAAGTTGTTAGGGTGACCAGGCAGCTGGGATAAGCGGAAGACAGATAAGGTGTGGTTAGGGCAACCGGAAGCAAATCCCTCCTGGAAAACCTGGTTTACTAACTTTCTTTTTGATTAGCTTTTTTCTTTTTTCCCCCCCCCCATTACCAGAAAAATAAAGACATCATCATCATCATCATCATCATCATCAACAACAACAACAAATGATAATCAGTTATCTCACAATAACAGAGCTACAGCAGAAGCAAGAAGTCTCTCCTTCAAAGTGCCTCGCTTTTTTTTTTTGACACATGAAACTTAAAGACGAATTTTTTTTTTTCCTCCGTCATTTCTGTTAAACACACACATACACAAACATTCACACCTCAGTCATCATGAATACAGAACTCATCCACACGTGTACAGTCAAACTCAAAAAGGGCTCAGACAGTGTTCTTTGAGTTTCTTTCCACGGTTTTCACACACTCCTTGGATTAGCTTACATTGACATTTGAGATTTGGGATGGGGGTAAAGGACAAGAGGGAGGGGGGGGGTAATGCAGTGGATTTCTAATGGATAGGGGCTTAGTGGGTATAATTGGGTTGGGGGGTGGGGTTAGGGTGAATTGGGGATCAATATGACCCCACTGAATACAACATGGGAGCAGCAGTATCAGCACGTATGCACACTGTGCTGGATAATTCAGGCACACGTTAAAAAAAAAAAAAAAACACTGCCCAAAGTTAATGCTTCCATCTCCAGTTACTACCAACGGCAACCACGTCGACAACAACATCCACTTCCCTTAATACAAAAAGAAATAAAAAGATATTAAAGAAACTAAACAAATATAACAGTGACTACAGAATCCAAAATGCAGACTGTTTCTGGCTGCACAGCTTTTCTGGGGATTTTTCGGTGGGTCTTCACTCTACCAGGAGACAGAAGAGATTGGCAACAGACACTGTTGCATGCTGGAATACTGAAACGTCGTCCTGGATGCCTCCGGTGTCAGTGCTCAAGGCACAAACTCCCCCAGCAGAGCAGGAGTTTGCTCCAGGCAGGCTGCCCTCTCTCGAACAGTTTTGGCACTGCAGGCAACACGAACAGAGTTTGTGTATCCACTTGTAGTTTGAGATGACTTTCTTCAACAGTTCTTTCCTTTCTTTTTTCTTGCTTTCATTTGTTCTGATCCTCTTCTCAACATCCATCCAACAAGCACTGTCACAACCCAGGGCTTCTCACATCTCTTCCACATTTTTGTTGAATCCCAAACCCTCCCAC